TACACCTGCATTCAGAGGAAAAAAAACTTACATAACTACTCGTATACTAAATTTTTGCTGTGGTTTAACTATTGCGTATCAACAATTTCTGTCTATAGCACGATGAAAATTTATTGGTTAAAAAAAAGTGACCAACCAATATTGGCATATCGCTTGTGGATTAGCATACATGTGTACGAAAAAATATATCTTCTAAAATAGACGTATGGTCTCTTCTCCAGGTGATGGAATGATATCAATTTATAGTGGTAGTAGCACAGTAATTTTTATGATTTTTTTCTTCTCTCGGTGTATAAGTTACATTCTGGATTTCAGAAAATTCTTCAAATAACCGTATCAAAACGCAGTTTGAGCCATAAACCGTCTACCGTAGTGAGCAATTATTATTCTTTTCCGTGTGGATACAGAAGAAAAAAAAAAAAATTTACACCTAGCGAGCTAATTTACCACTCGAATCGAGATAACGAATGCAAGCATTGAAAATTCCAATTTTCTTATTTAATATGTATTGTGTACAGTTATANAAAAAAAAAAAAAAAAAAAAAAAAAAAAAAAAAAAAAAAAAAAAAAAAAAAGAAGCCGATTATTCGTCCACAAAATATTTAACGAGGCAGCGTCGCGCATCGCAGCCAGACGACACATCTTTGCAAACCGCGTGAATATCGCAATAAAATACCACCGTCGCAAAAAGGCACGCGTTTATATGAATGCAGGATCCCATGAAACGCCTCAGCGTCGTCGTGTGAATGGCTGCGACGCGCGCCATAAAAGCTTAGCTCGGAGCTTGCACGGCGCAGCTGTAGGAGGCACAGAAATATACGCGGATAATTTCCCGAGGCGATGAGAGGGAGAGCCGGTTACCGTCCTCCTTAATTTTGATGCTTGTGTTTATAGCTCCGTGTTTGTTTCAATATAAATATTATAATTTTATAAATTTGTAAAATTATATTTAATTCGTGTTTTTTTTTTTTTCTTCCAGGTGAAAGACGTGACAATTGCTATCGTCCTGTTTTCAGCATCTCCTGAACTTACGGTGAGTACATATACATTACATACAATACCCCCAAACCGCAACACCTTAAAAATTTTAAAACGCGTATCCCTCAACAATTTCGATTTCCATGGCGTTAAAAAAGGTTGATCATGTTGATTCAACGAAGACGTGGGGTATTATCTAAAAATTCAGCGATGGTAGAAAAAACTTATCTACATACCAGTTTGGCAGCTCGCATTATCATCAAACTCACGAGGTCGCTGGAAGAATGAGGCGAAAGCGAGGTCATATATGATTGCATGTGTTCGCGCAAGTGGGTCGCATGTCAAAAGAGAGAGCAGAAAAACGCCCAAATGCGAGTGCGTTGCGTACACACCTACGCACACTTAAGATGTGTCACGTATGTACGTGCGTGCGTGTGCAACAAGGCATCGTGGATCCTTGTTAATTGGACCCTCGAGGTGATGCGAACTTTCGTAGGTATCGTGCGCTTTCTGTCCTTTTGACTCTCTCTTTGGATGTGTATTCGTGATTTTCCGTGACTGTAGTCACTTTGAGCGTAAGAAAACGGAAAAAAAGGAAATTCCTTGAACGAAAATACACTAGAGATTGGTGTGATGAAAAAAAAAAAAATTAATAATGTGTGTGTGTCTGAGAGAGAGAGAGTTTGATTGGTGCTGCTTGGAGTATTGAAAACAATATTATTGTTCAATAAAAAAATGTCGCGAATTTTTCTTCCACATAGCTATTTTAGGACTCCATTACACATATAAGAGGAGAAGTATCAAATGTAACATTAACTTTATCTTAATCAACATATTATTCATCGTAAGTGTTGTTGACATATGATTTTCAAAAATCATAGGAATGGTAGCATGATTTTTTTCTGTGTAATTTAATATAGACTGTTAATATCTCATTATCTGCAGAAATTTTTATTTTATTTGCGGCAAATTATGGTTTCATTAAAAAAAAAAAAATACATTAAAATTATACATCAACAATTTGATCGACAACCTCATTTACATGTTAGTTAAGATTATACAAAATGAATCCGAAATTTATGAATACTATTTTGTCCTAAGAAAAAAAAAAAAAAAAATTGTAAGTTACAACGTTAAATTTAAGATAGCAATAATTCCATTTATTCAAGATTTTAAGTTTTATAAGTAATTGTGCATGTTGAAAAAGAGAAACATAAATATTTATCCACATTGTCGAAAAGTTTATTCCATTTTATTTCACTACAAAAATCTTAGTATGCAGTTTTTATGTTAGTCGTTGTGATATTTTATATTTTTCTCCCTTCTGAGATTGAAGTTATAAACATATACAATTAAAGCCAATTATGGAAGTATTCGATTTTATGCAGCGGTAGTAGGCATAATAATTTTCGCTGCAATTTGCGTCACATGCCAAATCTTCCCAGTGGTTGCACGGCTCGTAATGGAGGAGTCTCGCCATTTCGTCGCTCATAATTTTAAATCCAACTTTAAAAAATAAATAAAAATTTATGATTTAATAATTGTCATCTAAATGCAAATCTATTGCTAATTTTAGTGATACGTGTGAATCATTCGTAATAATAAATTAAATTTATAATTTATTAATAGGTTCATTAGTACTGCATTGAAAAATCTCTCTATTCTAAATTTTATTTACTATCTGCATGCTGTGCTAAGTGTGAGTTGTTAATACATTTTTAAATATTAATAGCCTCTAGTTGATTGATGCATATTATTATATCTATAAGAGTTATTGTATCTTATATAGAGTAAAAACTACACTGGGTATTTATCACGAGTTTTGATTTATTCTTCTAACCAAATAATAAAGCAATGAGAGCAATAATAAATAATAAAATTCGACATGAATTATTGTTGAAAAGACTCGTTGGTTTCGGACAAGAGGGTAAAGGATGTCGAGAGGCTCCCATGAGACTTTGTATTTAAAAAAAAATTGTGCTAGTGTAGCCCGCTGTATGTCTACGTTACGATGAATACATTTATAATTAACTTATTAGTTCTCAAATAAATATCATTAATATGTTTTGAAGCGAAAATAAATATTGGAATGGTGTAGCATTAAATTGTAAGGTCTCGAGAAAAGTTACATCAAGTTTCAAATCATAACTTTGAGTAGTAAAGCTTCTGCAAGTGATTTCGTAAAAAGACATCATGCCACGTTAAAATTTGAATTGTAAGCAGACGCTGCTCACTTATTTATCACGCATTCAGCTATTCAGCATTGTAACTGCGTAGTAAAGTTTGCGCCGATTTTTCGTGAAAATATATGATACTATTTCAAATACAAAGGTTAGGGCGAAACAGAAATGACGGTTACAGTCGAACTTCGAGTTAATAAAAAAAATTGTACCAAGCAATCTTGCCTTTGTATTTCATTTAATAATCCTCGTTGGTGCCATAACAGTACATTAAGAGAAACTCTAATTTCTTTGTGTATTTTTTAAATCACTGTAACTTTTTTTTTTAAGAATGAAAAATCCACTTTTGTACAAACTATGATGCTAATTGTAAAATAAACAATTGTACTTACACGCAGAATAAGTAGTGACCGCTAAAACGACAGTAAAGAGTACCACTAGGTATTTCATTTTCTCCTTTCTCCAATGTTAATACAGAAAAAGACTTGTGCAGGTGCTGCGCTTACTTCTTACAAACTGACTGCACTAACAGATACTCGTGATGAGTTTGGTCCTGATATACAGCCTATCTTCTGACTAATAGTTAAAGTAGGAGATATACGACCACTTCCGGTTTGTTATATGCTTTCAGCGTCTTGAAGCTGAGTAGGGATCAAGATAAATACTGTCGTCGATGTCACGTTCATCTCGTTTCGTACCGAAAATCCAGAATTGTAGAGATGAAAATATCTTGCGAATTTCATATTTTAAAATAGGAGCAATATTTTTTCACTACATCGTTTGTATAAAAAGGCGTCGTAAATTGTATCCAAAATTTTGAAAAATGCCAGTTTTTTTTCAAAACAATGTAATTTTTTTTCTTGATTGTCTTCATTCTTCGTTAACGTACAAAATGCTTTTTCTGTACACACGATTCCCTGTGGGTTTGTAAAGAATTTTTTTAATTTTTGGAGTACAATTATTTTATACATGGGTGAATTAAAATATTAAAGTCATAAAAAATACATTTTTAAAACGTACCTAATACGACAATATCGAAATTATTTCATTATTTAAGTATTTTACACTTTTAGGGTTATGGAATGGTAATATTTTTTACTCAATATTTTGTAAAATTGTAATGCCACATGCAATATAATTAAATAGTTGATCATAGAAATAATAATTAATTATTAACTATTACATAAATATGAATAACGTTTCGAATAAATAATTTCCTTGCAAATTGAAGAAAGATTTTTTTCCAGATTTAAATACTCTGAAAATTACTAATTCTTAAATCCTTAGAAATTAACGCCTTTGGTGATCCAAAACTTTTCGAGTGTTCAATTATTTATAAAAAAATTTCAAATTAGATTAAATTATCATTATGTAACGTGTCTTTTTGTTGTAACCTTTTTTTTTTTTACTGCCAGCAAAAACCTTGACGCTAGCTATATTTTCACTGCTCTACCATATACGTGGGTGAAATTATCTTGTCTTTAAGTACAATAAGCACTATCGCAGTCAAGTTTTGTACGTACAGTACTCATATCCATGATGTAGCCGAGCCATTCGATAACCTATTCTCGGGTATCCCTGAGGTGCAGGTCTAGCTACGAGGCATGGAAACAAATCTCGGCCGTGAAAAACTCCGAAAAAATCTTTACCTAACTTCCGAGTTAAGCCAACTGGAATTCATACTTGTATCCTACTAGAGCAGCCGTACTTCAACTGAGCTAAGACATTATGTATATATGATGTATACTTACCTTTTAATCAACTAAGCTTCGACTGCATGCTACCCTGAAAAAAGTACCAACTATCTACGAAAGGAAAATAAAATAAATGAATTGACACGAATAAAGAATTTTAATTATGATTTATTTTGTTACAAAAGTTTTACAGGTATAAATAACATGTTTATTTTATTTACGCAATTAATAGAGTGGTATGATGCACTGCATAATTGGATTTTTTATTAGTCAACTGTTAGTGCTGTACGTTTATTCGGGTTAAAAAATATATATCTTCGTTACAACTGGTTAATGAGTTACAAAACATTGCAAAGTGTGTTAAAAAGTAAAAGTTTATCATTATGACAGCTTAGGTTTTTCTTATATGTCGATACATGTGCAACTATATCCCAATGACTTATCCGATTTTGCGCAAACGGCAGTTGAATCGAAGAGGCATTTAGTTTCGCATAAGAATTTTTGGAAGCCACTGCACGGGTTGGGTACGATTTTATTGATTTGGTCCAAGACTGTAACAAACAATGAATAATTCATATTTTTAGTAAAGCATACATTTTTAAAATTTATTCATCATTATTATTATTGTTATTATTATGACTATGTATACATAAATCGAGTAGTAAAAAAATCATTCTTTTGTCGTGAAAATAGTACTTCAGTTATTAGACATACATTTAATGTAACCTTAGCTGAGGTGTTCATGTTTTTTTTAAAAAAACGTCGTGAAAGAGTATACAAACTCAACAGTAAAAATATTTAACTCCTTTAGTCATAAATACGCTAAATAACGTATTCAATGGAACATAGATTTAAGTACACATATTTTTATTTTTAAATTTGAAAAAATGTTCATACCAGATAAAGAACGTGGTTTTTCATAAATTATTACATCACAATCGTGTTCTGATCAACACCAATTTTGAAGAAAGACATGTTTGTTCAAGTAGTGGATGTAATTACATTAAAATTAAAAAAAATAAATCAAAAAGATCCATAAAATCGAATACACCTAGTTTAAAATCCAAATTAAAATGTTATGTGCTTCAAAAATTAGTTTGAGTTACATTAAATGTAGCATTATTATTCTTTTTTTACGCTGTAGACTACAAGTACTAAATTAATCTATTTCAGCAACTTGAATTTTTTTTTCAGAAACTCGTATCATTTACATAAAACCATTTCAACAATGTTTTGTTATTAAATGGTTCACTTGACGAAAATTCTCAGCAATTTATCAATGTTTATTTTGAAAATTAAATGTCCCGTTATTTAACTTTATTATACTTGGGTATAACTGAAATTTATTAGTTTCTTGGATACTACATAGCTTTTGTATTCTTAAAAGCACTTTTCCAACCACGACGTATATGAACTTTGATTTCTACGAAATGACTCAATCAAATATATCTCTTTTTTTAAATCTACAAAAATAAAAAAAAAAACTTTGTATCGCGTCAAATATCTTCAACCACTTAATCTTATAGTTTACGAGAAACATTTTAAATGTCTTTGCACGTATTTTACAACCACCGTTATATATATGTACTTATGTACAGTAATAAAATCCACTCGCGTAGAACATAAAAAATTCACAGTGTAATAAACAATCGAACTTACTATTTGCCGAGCAAACAGCCACAGCAAGGGCGACGATAAACAGCACCGTTATGTATTTCATGTTTTGAAAATCACGGAGCAAGACTTGGATCAGTGAACGCGTGGCACTTGCCTCGAAAGAACAATCCGTACTGGTTACTCGCACTATTTTAGAGTCTTATATCATCCGATCACCACTTCACGTCGGACTGACAAACATACATGCACACATTTACACACTTACGATACTCTTCTACGCACACATTTTTATGTACAAGCATCATGCACGCTCATGCACGCGCATATACTAGCGCAGGTGTGTCACGAACACAAAGATGGAGAAAGTATCCAGTACGAAGTATACGAAGTTATACATATATATGTAGTGAACCGAGTGTATGGGGCGTGGGAGTGGTGGTAAAAAAATTATATTACGTACAAGTAAAGAAAGATAAGTACGACCGCTGGTTTGTAACAGTGTTTCTGGTGCACGAGGCTGAGGCGTTTTAGATAAGTGTTGTTGATGTCATGCTCTCGTCTCGTTTTCTACGAACATCCTGTGTTGCCCTTTTATCTCTCTCTCTTTCATATCCCACTTTTATAATTTATCTCCAACTTTGTGTGCTTTGTACTTGGGTATAAATTTCTCGCTGCTCTCTTTATTCTACGCACAAGCTTGTCGAGTATGTTTTACTTGAAGAATACCAATTTTCTCAAATAAACATAGAAATTCAGTAAAAATCATGAACATCTCTCGAATAAACAAACGTACATATTGATTATTTGGATGTAATATTTGGCTTCAAAATATGGTTCTTATCGCATTGGTGTGCACGTGTATATTATATTAATAGAAAAAACGCAATAACTAATCAGAATAATGGAGTAACAAATCTAACTATAACAGCTCCCATCCATAAATAAACAGCTCGGGCGCAGATAAGACGCAAACGCGCGCTCGACATTTAAATCTAACGTCACAATCTATCGTGTACTTCGCGATAATTAAATCATGTTACATCAATTCCGTGAAATGATTCAGTTAAGCAAGTCGTGTACGCTATATTTGAATCTCAATATTTGAGCGTGGATAGGAAAAAAAAGCTCGACAGAGCAACAGTTTGGCGAATCAAAAACCATGGGTAGGGAGTAATTTTTGTTTGCATTCCTCTTATTCAATGATCCACAAAATAGCTACATCCTTGATTAAATATTAACCGAGGCAGCGGGTGAAATTTATCTTGATTGCCGCGTTGTACGTCACGGACATTTCTCGAAAGCATAAAATGTTGTCTTGGCGATTTATTGGCACCTTCCGCAGTCCCCGTTAAACTGCGAAGCTCGTCGGAACAATGCCATATGGAACTCGTGCCTCGAGAAGCCTGACGAGTTGACCGCGTCATCTCGAATTTTCCTTTGTTTTCCCCCGTGTATTTCATACACATGCCGAATTTTCATTACAATTTCCTTCGATATACCTCATTATATATAGCGTATGTGATAATTAAGAAAAAAAAAAAAAAATGTTTTCCCACCCACAAGTATATTGTAGTCGAGCAAATTGAAAGATGCCAACCCCGGCTCGCCCCCTTTTCACATCCACAAACATACTGCGTATAGTTTGCCAAAAGCGTGCAGGCCATTATATCTTCCGCGTTATATACACATATATCATATACCTATGCGAGCAAAGCCAAGGCATCGCGCATAAATACGCGCATTAAGCTTCTCCAAAGCCACTCGTTATTCTCTCCCTTCCTTCGCCTCCTTGCCTCCTCGTCGCTTGTATATAAATGTACACGTATATATATATACACATATACCTGCATCCGGTAGCTATACGGCGCTCGCGTCGGTATTATCCAATTTTCCAAGCAGATATTTCGCGATATATAATAATTGGGCATTCAGGGGAGGTGCTCTCGCGGAGACTGCTCACCCCCTCAACCAAGCCTCCCTTTTCTTTTCTTATTATCATTGTTATTATCGTCATTTGCGACGTGCATAAAACATCCTTCCTTCCTGTCTCCTCGGCGGGTAGATACCTTTTTTTCCCCTCTTCTCTCAAAACCTAGCGTATCGAGGGTGGCGTTATAACGCTTTGCCCATCCTCTTCCTCCCGAGAACGACGAAGGCGACGGCTCAAACCGCCACTAATTATTGTTAACCAGGGCAGAGTGCACGCTAATGAGTTCGTGATGCAACTTTTGACCTTCCTCTCGAGAACGAGGAAAAGGACTTTTAACGCAGCGTCTTGAGTCGACACGACGCTCGGCTTGTTTCCCTTCATCAAGCGACGAGCTCAAGGTTTCACTCGTCCTCTTTTGTAATTCTTTTTTTATTTTACTTTATTCTCCTTACAGTCGAGCATTAATAAATGATTCTTGAAGAGCGTTGAGCCGACTCTTGTTGAGTCAACGGAGGTGCGCTTCGTTTTTTTCTTGCTTTTTTGTTGTCTGGCTTTTTTTCAGCGAAACTCGAGTTACCCGAGAGTGGAGGATTGGTTTTCTTCAACAGCTCGGATGCCGGTGAGTTTTTCGCGATTACGTCGGTGACGTGGCGGCAGCTTTTTTATTTTTATATACGTTAGCTGCGTAATTGGAGGGAGAAGTTTTAATGAGTAATGGAACTGTGGATTTCTTTTTCTTCATTTATCTAACTTTGATGAGATGTTGTTGTTATATAATTTTGAAATTGTACGATGAGTACGTGTTTTCATAATGACATGGGTTTTAATATCAATCAGATCGAGCTTAGAAGTGTATAGTGATTAAATAATATTGAATTACAAATGACGTTGATTAATGTCAGAAACAACCATTAGATTGATATCCATTGAAATTACAAATGTCTTGAATGCAATGCACATTTGTCTTGAGCACAATATGAAACCACAATTGTTTATAAAGTTTTTTATTTTTCATTTCGAATCATTTACAAATAAAAAAGTTTTTCATAAAATTGGGTGACTATATAAAAGTTATAATATTTCTTACAGTTTTTTACGGGAGAAAGCTTCATTCGAGATGCAATACTATTTAGAAAAATTACATCAATCCTCCAAATACGTTGATAAGAAACTATAGTAAACACTATGGAATTGCAAACATTGTTAGAAATACGTACAGTAAATTGACTGCAACATCGTTATTCGTATACGAACATTTGAGTAATTTATTTACTTGCTTCCAAAAATGCGATTGAGAAATAATTATGTGTAGCGCGTCAACAAGTATTTTTTTGCACGCTCTAATCTTCCTCCGGGACATTGTGACAACTCAATTGAAAAAAATCACCAGCCCGATCTGTCACCGCACCCTCTCGCCTCTTTAACGAACCTCCCGTCTCTGTCCCTCGTCGCAAATCCGTCGACAATGAGATTAGACTCCTCGGATTTTGGAAAAAGGAAAAAAAAATGATAATAATAATAATAGAGCTCCACACGAAAAGCCGAACGGTTTATTAGATTCCCCGTCGCACATGCACACGCTCACGCGGATAATAATATAATACAAGGGAACGTGAGAGCGTCAGGGGGAGAGAAATCGCGCTCGCAGTTCGCGCCAGTCAATATTGTATTATACATACCTGGGCACATATATGAAGAAAGATATATCCTGACTGCGCTGGCTTTGATTGACAGCTGAAGTAACTCGCCTCGGAGGCTCCACTTGCTTTTTCTCCTTGGCGACGATCTCCTCTTCCGCCATTCTCCGTTCGAGCACACGCGTGCCTTCGCTGCTTTTTCGCTTCCCTCTTCTTACACACCTCCCCCCTTATATATTATTGCCTCTGCATCGGGCACATATTATATAGAATTCCTTTCTATTCTCGCATGGGTTGGGATGGCTCTTGGATGAGCAATGAAACCTCGGCGAGCGCGTGATTCTTGGAATTCGCCGAGGTGACGATGCGAGGGGTATAAGAGGGCCAAATACGTCGAGGCACGAAAAGCACCATCCGCGCGAGGATATGGCATTATCTGCTACAGCCCATCTAATAACCGTACCCCGGGTGTGGGAGGTCTACGGTTCGAAGGGGCGTGAGATAATTTAAAATTTACATTCAGTTGTTGTTTGGATTATAAAAAAAAAAATAAAATAAAATAAATAAATAAACATAAAGGTTAATAGC